TAATTGATACAAGGGGATTGATAAAAAGGGAAGCAAAATGAGTTTGGCATAGAGGAAGCTCTGGGGACTGGAGCCCAGTGAACCTAGAGGGCTCTGGGTCTGTTGTGTTCCAACAGAGGCCCATGTGTCTTTATTGGACCTTCCTTTTGCTCTGAGAGACAGTTACATCAAGCACTTAAGGGCCCTTCAATTTTTGGCTCACTGAGCAGGGTGACTGAAGTTTGAATCACTGTTGGTCTTTTTGTAGCTATCCAGGTGAACTGAACACATCTGTCATGTGCAATAAGGAGGACATTATAGAGAGGTCAACTAGCTAAGAATGTTTTTCCTTCCTTCCTTCCTTCCTTCCTTCCTTCCTTCCTTCCTTCCTTCCTTCCTTCCTTCCTTCCTTCCTTCCTTCCTTCCTTCCTTCCTTCCTTCCTTCCTCCTTCCCTCCCTCCCTCCCTCCCTCCTCTCTCTCTGTCTCTGTCTCTCTCTCTCTCTCTCCTTCCTTCTTCCTCCCACCCCACAAATTGACCCTAAAAAATAGAATTTGAATATATATTTTTAGGCTTTCATGCTCTCTTGTTTATGGTATGGGGCTTTCACTCTCACAGTTGTGTTGGACTTCTTTGCTTTGTTCCATCCTGTAGCACCCCCGCCCCCCGCCATGCTCAAGCACAGTATTATATTCTGTTTTATGAAGAGCAAATAGCGCAATGAAAGACTTTTAATTAAGTCTAGATATGGCGATGAGATATGCAGAAGACAGCAAAAATAACATGAAGTTGTTTTATAATAATACTTTTTATTAAGAGTCTAAAATAAGTATTGAGGAAGTGCAAAGTCAGGAAGACAGCCATATGAGTAGTTATTTGATAATTTTTTTTTAATGTTCAAGAATAGCTGCTATTTAGCTAACTTCTTGTTAAACTGATGTAACCATTTCTGGTTTCTTTCTAGATCGTGGGATGGCATTTTCCCCACTGAGTGAAATCTCAGAGTATGCACTCTGTCCTGAGGAATGATCTGGGATTACTGATAAGATTTTTAATATTTCCATCTATCAGCATGCACCTGCTCATGTGCATAAGTGTATACACACATACACACACATACCACTTTAGAATTTTCATTTTTCTTAGACATTAACTGGAAAGACTTTGAAAATTTAGTGTGATGTATAACTTTTCTACTGCCATCCGCTTAGAACTTTGGCTGATGCTGTGGCGTAGAGTGCCAATCATTGTGTGTTGTGTGCGTGGCTTCTGAAAAAGAGGCATTGGCATACATCAGTGTGCGAATGATTACCTTGAGGATTTTAGGAGAGGTTTTATTGCTTCCTGAAGTGGAAAAGGTATGGCTATCTTTTCTAGAGTGATACCAGTATCTTGGGGATAATAATACCTGGCCTTATGACTGCTGGTATCTGCTTTGTGCGTAAACAAGATAAAATATTTGAAGATGCTGTGGACTCACCAGTAAAGGTGGGATGGAGAGCTAGGTGTTTCATATTGGGCTGGGTGCTTCAGTGATTAGGAAGATGCATTTTTGCCTATAAGATTTATGTCTTGAGATTGTCTTTTTTTCTTTTAATTGTTATTGCAAAGGGAATGTATTGCAAAGGGGTTACAGTTACATACATCAGGTAATGAGTACATTTCTTTTTGAACCATGTTGCTTCTTTCCTTGTTTTCTCCGTGTTTTCCCTCTCAAGCCCACCTACAAGTTGCATAGTTCATTTTCAACAAAGTGTCTAGTGAGTACCACGGCTGCATTTATTCACCCTCTGTCCCAACATTTCTGTGTTTCCCTTGTCCTCCCCCAAACAGATAAACTAACATACAAGACGGAAGGTACAAAAAAAACAGAAGCAGTGGCAAAGAAGAAAAAAAACCAAAACAAAAAGCAAAATAACAGAAAACCTCTTGCTTCCATTGTCTTGGAGTTTATCTTGAAAAGCATCATTTTATATGACTATATGCACTTAGTTATTGAGCCTGTGTGATTCTCTCCTAAGAATATCCTCCTTTGGTCTCATGTATAATATCTCATGTCCAAGTGTATTTTTTTTGGTCTTTTCCCATCCATTGTGTTTACTTGTGGATTTACAGGCACATTCTAGTTACAACAATTGAGGGAAACCATACAACCTGTATGTTTGGGTCTGGCTTAATTTGCTTAAAACATTTTTGGATCAATTCTTATTCATCAGTGTTCACAAAGCTCCTTGATCCTCAGTCCTCATAAATCAAACATTGCAAGCAAGGACCACTTCAAACAAGACATTGGCATTATCACAGAAGAGGAGAGATTAGAAAGAGAGGCATGGTTGTCTCCCATCCCTGAGACTACTCACCATTCATGTGCACTAAGAGAAGAGTACCTCAACATCTTGGACATAGAGGAAATGCAAATCAAAACCATACTGATTCCAACTCACCCCAGTTAAAATGCTCATCATCCAAGAACACAAACAGTAACCGATGCTGGTGCAAATGTGGGCAAGAAGGAACTCTAGTACAGTGTTAATGGGAACGTAAACTGGTGCAGCCCCTCTGGAAAGCAGTGTGGAGATTCCTCAAAAAAACAAAACAAAACGTAGAACTAGCCTATGATCCAGCAATTCCACTCTTGGACAGTTATCCAAAAGATTACAACCCAGGATACAGTCAAGTCTCCTGCATAACATGTTTATTGTAGCACTATTCACCATAGCTAAGGAAGAGAATCACCCCAGATGCCCTCAGTGGACAAATGGATCAAGAAAAGGTGGTATATATGTACAATACAATTTTATTCATTTATTAGAAAGAATGACATTGCACCATTTGCAACGAAATGGAAGGAACTGGAAAAAATTATGTTGTGGCGAAAGTGAGGCCCAGAGAGACCAAGGTTGTATATGAGCCCTTATATGTGGAGCCTAGAATTAATTTATAAATATATAAGTATACACTTCATCGTGGTAGCCACGTGTACATAAATGTGTTAACCAAAATACGATAGTTTTAGGGGAGAACACATATGGAGTCATTTCTTAGAAATGTTACCTTACAGTCTACCAGAATAAAACACCAAGAAACAGGTACTCAAAGGAGGAGTAAGATCAAGGGGGAGGGCAGTAGAGGAATAAGGAGAGGGAGAGAGAAGAATGCAGTCATAAAATTCAATGCAGAGCCTATCAAATGAAGGAAATTGAGAGAGGGGTGGGGCTAGAAGGGATGTGGAGAACGATGAAAGGGGCGACATCATTCAAGAGGTCATGAGCGGCTTTGTTGAATGGCAACTTCTTCCTACGCGATTTAAAGATCATTTTAAAAAGGGAAGTGTGAGCAGGTGATAAATGGAACTTGGAGAATGCTTTGAATGAGCCAATAAAGTTTCACCAGAGCTGTGGGCCTTCCATACCTCTCACAGCTATGATGTTATCTTTTATATCCTCCTGGACTTATGAAAGTCAACAATTAAAGGGTAGAATATATGGCTTTTCACTTGTTAACAGTTTTTCAGGTGCTAATATTTTCAGTTCTCTGCAGGCTTCCTGTTATCAAATTGGCTTCCCTTAAAGAAATTTATGTATTCACATTGAGCTGTGATTGAAGCATATCATACTGCCTTTTCTAGAGATTTTACCTTTTTAATAAAGGGCAGAGACTGAATTAAAAGATACATATAACATTGAAGTGTGGTAGATGTACATGTATTTATTAAGAAGCTTCTGAGCTTACATTTATTTATTTATTGTTTTATGTGATATCTTTGCTTCTTTGTAAAGCACTCAACTTACAATACCATGAATATACAAAGGCAATTTAATGTAAAAACTAATTTATGAAAGAATATATGCCTATGAATAATTATTAGAAAAATGGAAGGTAGAATAGTTCCATTGACCTGGACAGAAGGACTGACTTAAGTTCCTGTCCCTACTTCCATTTTGCCATTTATTTTTTTTTTTGTCAATCATGGGGTTTGAACCCTGGGCCTGGGCACTGCCCCTCAGCTCTTCAGCTCAAGGTTAGCATCCTACCCCTTGACCCACAGCGCCATTTCCGGTTTTGTGGTGGTTTATTGGAGGTAAGAGTCTCATGGACTTTCCTGCCCAGGCTGGCTTTGAACTGTGATCCTCAGATCTCAGCCTCCTGAGTAACTAGGATTACAGGCATGAGCCACCGGCAACCTGGCCCCATTTTGTACTTTTTGACATTGGGTCTCAGATCTTCCTGCCTCAGACTCCAGAATGCTGGCATTACAAGCATGTGTCACCATGCCCCGGAAAATATTAAATTCTCTCTTCCATTAAAAAAAAAAAAGTAGCTAGGCTTGGTGGCCCAGGCCTGTCATCACAGCAAGGATGAAGAAGAAAGATGATGAATTCCAAGCAAGTATGATGATGTCATGAGTTCCAGGTTAGCCCAGCTTATATAGTAAGACTCTTGTCTAAACTAACAAACTTACTTGAGAAGTCCCATGAAAAAACTGCTAAAAGAAAGAAGAAATATTACCAATAATCTTTTACTTCACTGGCCTATTTATCTTGATAATTTCATTTGCTTTTGATAATATCATCTTAATAATTTCATTTGCTTTTGCCATTTTAAAACTTGTGCCTTCATTGTAATTCTGATCATTTTTTAATAAAATACTTATCGGAGAAGTCTTCCTTTGATCTTTATAAAGACTATTCCCAAATACAATTTAGCTTTAAACTTCCTTTGAGAAAAGAAGACAATTCTCTTGAAGACAGCGTAAGAATAAATCTACTAGATTTCTGCTGGTCACACTCTATGCATTGAAAGCATAAGAGCCTTTCTGTGTGAAGAAGTCAATTAAAGTTTCTCCCTGTGCTTGTTCAGTACCACTTCATCTCTCCAACTAGATGACAGGGTGTGATTTTAATACACAACAGTGAGCCATAGAGATGATTTACCTTCCTTCCCCTGTGTAACATTAAGCAATATGATTGGGACATATTTTCCTGGATAAAGATTATTTTAACCTACCTTTATTTCTAACAGAGAGAGTAGTATATGATTGGAGAGGAATTATGTCAGCGAGGTTTTTCCACTTGCATGAAGATCAGAAACTCTCTGAGTCATCAGAAATATTTCGGGATTATTGTATGGTAAGTATTTGTAACACTGGACATAGAAATGACTTCTTACTTTTTTCTAATGAAGTATTGGGTTAATTATGATCAAAGCACATGCAATTTTCTTACCATGGGCCTATTTCATTCCTAAGATAGTTCCCCATTGAGGTTACCATTCTATTTTCTGTCCTATAAATTTAGCTACTCTAGGGATAAATAAGCAAATAAGCAAAACCATACAGTAGTTTTTCTTTTGTAACTGTCTTTCTTTACACAGCATACTTTCTTAGATTGATCCAAGTCATAGCATGTATCAAAATTTCCTTCCTTTTACAAAACGGAATAGTATGCTACTTCATCCTGTACTTGGTTTATTATGTTATTAATGAATAATCAGGTTGCTTCCACTTCAGATATATTGAATATTCCTGTTAAGAACATGGATACATCAGCCAGATTTTAGTTTCTGATTTCACCTTAAACTGGAATTGCTTGTCCTTATTATTGTATGTTTCTGTTTAATTCTTTGAGAAATTATTATATTGGTTTTCCGCAAATGGTTGTACCATTTTATATCTTCTCTAGCAATGCACAAGGGTTCAAATTCCTCATATCCTCACTACCATGTACTATATTATCTGGTATTTTACATTTTAATGGGTGTCAAGGACTAAATCAACTTGCTGTGAATGAGTTCCACCAGTTCAGAAGACAAAAACGGAGGAAACCAAAAATAAAGGATACTGCATTGTGGAGGAGGAGTGAAGATAGGAGTTAAAGAAAGCTTATCTATGATTTTATAGAGAGATGAATATAACACACTTTGCCCTGAAGCACCCTGTACAGCCTGGCTATTCTTATCAAACCTTAATTTGCTCAAATATAAAAAGCCTTGTGGATAGCCCTGTGGATTAGGCAGAGAATACTGGCCCTTTTAAGCCTGAAATATTCTTTAGAAATATATTTTGTATCCTTGTATGTTTTTAGTTCCCTGGTCTATCTTTGTGCTTTAATTTTCATTTCTGAAACCACTTGTTTATTTGTATCATATATGTACTAAAATTTCTGATTATTTTAAGCAACAGCACATAGGTTCCTATAACTTCTCTCTCTCTCTCTCTCTCTCTCTCTCTCTCTATATATATATATATATATATATATGTAAATGTACCGCATTCTGAAGAAACAATTACTGTTGTTACTTTTTCTTGAAGTACTGAGATATTTATAGCTTTAATTATCTTGAGAGATAATATTTGTCTAAGGTAAGAGAGATCTGTGAATGTAATTCCTCATGCCATATAAAAATGGACTATTACATTGCAACCAGATAGAAAAGCCATCACCTCCAAATTTCTGGCTGCATTCCTGTGTCAGAACTCTGTAAGTGGTTTGTTAACTTTCTGAGAATATATGACACAACCTCAGTGTATTCACCCTGAGGATACCATCATGACATCTAAAAAAAGCCTTTGGCATTTGTCACTATTCTGAGATATAAAATTCCTAGGCTTATATATCATGTTCTTAAAAATAGCTAGGATTAAAATGAATGCTTTAAGAAGTTGGGATAAGCAGTTTCTAGAAATTTCTATGTATTTAGAAAGTGAAATGACACATTCATTGGTTGTCTATCAGGAACGTCATTCTGTCAACTGAGTGGCTGATTTATGGTCCATAGAGGACCTGGGCCATTTGGTGACCCCTTAGCATGAGGATGAGGTATTGCAGACAAAATGTTCCTGAAGGCTGTGGCAGGGAGGCTCCCAGGCGGAGGGCTGGAGGGCAGGGACATTTCCAGTTGCAGAAAAACCAGCTGTGGTTGCCCAAGGATGGGCATCCAGCTGAGGAATTGAAAGAAGTGTGTGTGTGTGTGTGTGTGTGTGTGTGTGTGTGTGTGTGTGTGTGTGTGTGTGTCTTGTCTCTGTGTCTGTGTGTGTGTGTGTGTGTGTGTGTGTGTGTGTGTGTCTGTGTGTCTCTGTGTGTGTGTCTGTGTCTGTGTGTCTGTGTCTGTGTGTGTAGGAAGCAGGCCTTAATGGTGGTGCTGGCAATAATGCTAGTGCTATGGTTGCCAGATAACACATATATTCCTTTTAGAGATAAGCTATAATGTGACTGTTTATAGAGGGAGATGAAAGCCTGGCTAGTCGAGTGTCGAGCGCCTCGAGCAGACATTGGGTGAAGGGAAGGAACAGGCTGTGCAGGCCCTGGGGAATCCCTACCCCCTCCGCCCCCTCCTAGGAAGCTAGGTACACTTGTTCTCTAGTAAAGGGAACATTAACCAAATTTCTTAAAAAGTAATGAAAGAGAACAAACTGTAAAAAAGGCAGCCAAAAAAAGGCAAACATCTGTTACTGAACATGTCTCACTTGACTTCCTTTTAATGTTCTTAGGAATAAATTTATGAACTGGGGAAGGTTTAGCGCTAATTAGCTTGTTTTCATCAAACAAAATGTAGCAGGCATGGATGTTGAATATGAATGAACTGCGTCAATAGTAGTGCTAAGTGTATACTGAAGTTCTGAGCCAGGGCGATGGCCACCAGTTTGGATCCTGTGACTGCTAATATTGTGTTGATTCGCTTGGCTATACTGAACAATGCAAAGAAAAATATTTGAAGAGTTTTGTGTATTTATTGAACAATGAGTGGATTAGGCAAAAGACTTTTGTTTTTATAAAGGCTTTTTCTCTTTGGTCACATGACTTTCTGTTGATATGTTGTGCTTTGGAATAACAAATGTGGAGTTGCTCTTCTAATACAAGCAGCAGCAGCAACAGTAGTAGCTTTGGCTCACAGGATTTATATCCTTTTATTTAAAACTCGTAGGGAAACAAAATTTTTTGCCAGGAGTTCAAAATGTTTTACAAGGGTGAGAAGAGGTAAGTCATTTGACAAGCAAGGCTATGACGGAACATGCTCACATTTTCATTACAGCATATGAGGATTCTCATGAAGTGAAAGAGAGAGGCCGCTGTCAATAAGGGCCTCATGTTCATTCAATCCAGCTTTTGCCATCAAAGATCGGATGAACTGAGTTTTGCCTTCATGTGTGTTATGCAAAAAAGTGTTAGTTTTTTAAGCTTTCATAAATGCTAGAAGCTGAGATAAGGAATTATAGACTTGTCATGGTAGTAGTAATAGAATTAATCATAGTAGTAGAAATTGATGGAGGAAGATGGAGAAATTGAAGACAAACAGGTAACATACAGGAGGAGAGAGAGAAGGTGGGGGGAGGGGAGTGGGAAGGACAGGGAGGAGAGGGGGAGAAAGAGGGAAAGGGAAAGCAAAAAGTAGTAAAATGCATAACCGTGACGAGGAAAGAAGAGAATACTGATTTAAGGATGTTGGGGTCATTTTGCCATAGTTTTGTTTTCTATACACTTTATTTTTTCCTGTAAAAAGATGTGCAGAATTCTTCATCTCTTTCTTCTGGAATAGTTGATTCCCTATCCCTTCTGCGAAGACTATGGCCAGAAGCTCTCTTCCTGATTATCCTTTTCAACATCTCCAACACTCAGAAAGTCTTCTTCTGTTTCGTAGGTGAGGATTGCTACAGTAGATTGTTGGAAAGACCAAATTCATACCTAGGGCACAAACCCAAAACATGGAGTCTTAAGTCTTACATCTAGAGTAGGCCCCAAATGGTGAGACGCTACACCTGGTTGTTGAGATAGAATAGTTTCAAACAATGGTGCTTATGTCAGTGACAAAATACCTCATGATCCTGCACTTGAGTCTTCAGCAATTGATTCCTAATGTGACCCTAGTTTTATTCTTGAACCAATGTTGGATAACTTTTAAATCCAAATTGCTTCAGGTTTTTATAGTCTTATCTGTTTCTCCTCTACCTGTTACCCATATCCATGGCCTTTGTCTAAAAGCCTTTGCTTTCTGTCATATGCTAAAATACTTATTTTTATTAATTACGCTTGCACTACATGTATTTTGAAGGAAATTCAAAGGATATAACCTAAGGAGAGAAAACAACTATATTTATTATAGTATTATTTTATAGCCTTAGTTTTTTTGATTGTGAAAATACTGTACAGAGGAGTTACAATTACATGGGCAAGATAACGAGTTCATTTCTTATCAAGCATTGTTGCCTCCTCCTTGTTTCCCTTTCTCATCCCTTCCCATACTCCCCCCACCTACCCCACACCCAATTCTCCCCCCCCACCAAAGTTGTAAAGTTTGTTTTTCGACATAACGACTTGTACATCTCATTGTTGCAATGGGCCCACCTGTATCCCTAGTTAAACGATTTGTTTTTGCCCTTCCCCTCTACAAATTATACCAACATCAAATACAGTAAAAGCAGGGGTTATACCGTGGGGGAGGGACATACAAAGCAACATAGAAATCATCTTATAAATATGTTAGAAACAATTGCATGAAAGAAAAAAAACATTTGAATACTTATCTTGGGGTTCATTCCCCTAAAATAAACTTATCTGACCTTTTCTGCTTGACTCAGACATGTACTAGTTATTGCAAATAAGGGAAACCATGGGACCTATGTTTCGTTGGACCTGGCTTACTTCACTTAATATAATTTTTCCAAGTCTTTCCATTTCCTAACAAATGGGGCAATGCCATTCTTTCTAATGGAGGCATAGAATTCCATTGTGTATATATACCACATTGTCTTGATCCATTCATCTACTGAGGGGCATCTGCGTTGGTTCCATATCTTAGCTTTGGTAAATAAGGCTGCAATAAACATAGTTGTGCTGGTAGCTTTAGTATGGTCCTGTTTGTGATCATTTGGGTAAATGCCCAAAAGTGGGATTGCTGGGTCATAGGGGAGGTCTATGTGGAGTCTTTTGAGGAACCTCCATACTACTTTCCAAAGTGGTTGAATAAGTTTACACTCCCATCAACAATGCAGTAAGGTTCCCTTCTGTCCACATCCCCTCCAGCATCTGTTGTTATTAGAGTTCTTTATTATAGCCATTCTAACTGGGGTGAGGTGGTATCTCAATGTTCTTTTGATTTGCATTTCTTTTATGACAGCCTTAGTTTTTAATTC